TTGTGTAGGAAAGGGGAAAAAAAAGCAAAAAAAAAAAAAAAAAGCACCAAACTGCTGGAACAAAGGTTTGAATCTCCCAGCCCAGGGCAAGGGGAGGGCGAGGAGCTGGCAGTGCAGAGCCAGGGGGGTGGACATGTAGCCCTGCAGCGATGTCTGGCTCGGGGACAAAACCTGTGTGGCCCTGGGCGCTGGAGGGTGCAGCTCAGGGCTGTGGCCTGCGGAGGTTTTGCTTCCTTTGTCATCGCAGTCACATGCATCGTGCCCAGCCACCGCATGCCCTGCTCCTGCCTGGCCACCAGCTCTGGCCACCAGGAACCTCCCCCTCGGGGGCTGTCCCTCACACCACCTCTGTGTGGGGACAGAGACAGCGACCATCAGCCTTTGGCCAAATGCGATAAAAGTGGCAGTTTTGACACATTCTAGGAAACGTAGATGAGGTTTTGGAGCCATAAACTGTCACACCAGGACACTACTTTGACATTAAGTTGTGTTGAGTAATGCTGTCAGGGAACAGGAGAGTGGCAACAAGATAAACAGTGAGAAATAACCCATAACTTGTCAGGTAGAATGATAAACCTGATTGCAAACAACAAAATAGGTGTCTCTACTTATCTCATTTAGAGCTGAGCTCTGTTTGTTAACAATACGGGAATAAAAAAACCCATGCCTGAAACTGCAAACTTCTCTTCCCTTTGTGCCAAGTTCCCCATTTGTCGATGCCTCAGGGCCTTCAGAAAAAGCCCAGTCCCCCAAAGACAACTGGGTCAGGTAAAACTTAGATGTAATTTTCTACCACTTCACACATCTTAATGGAAAAATGGAGTTGCATGTACCCATCCATTTAAGGATTAAGTCCATTGTGTCTTCTCTCTTTTGCATTCCTGTTTACTTAGCCACTGTCTGGAGAAATTAAGATCTTAAAGATGACCAAGATTGATCTTACAAGAACCAGGCTGCGCTGAGGCTTGAGCCCTGCTGAGCCCGAGCTCACGCCAGGTGTTGGATGAAAGTGGGAGAAAGACAGGCAGGAGGATGGTTCCAGAGGAGTCACTGAAAGAAGGGCTGGGCTGCCCTAGCACTGAGGACAGCAGGGGAGAGGGGAAAGCAGAGGAGATCTTCATGGATAAAAATGTCCTTTTGCTCTTCCCCATACAGCCCTGGGGGAGAAGACAAGCTCCAGCTGGGGTTGGATGTGCCGGAGTGAGCTCCAGGGGGCTGCTGTGCCACCCCACACTTCCCATCCATCCTCTTCCCATGTTACTGATTTTACACCTTGCTTCATCTCATCTGCACACCACCACAGGCTCCATATTGTCCCTCATAGAATCATATAGAATCGTATAGTGATTTAGGTTGGAAGGGACCTTGAAGACCATCTAGTTCCAACCCCCCTGCCATGGGCAGAGACACCTCCCACCAGACCAGGTTGCTCAAAGCCCCATCCACCCTGGCCTTGAACACCTCCAGGGATGGGACTTCCACAACGTCCCTGGGCAACCTGTACCAGTGCCTTGCCACTCTCAGAGTAAAGAATTTCTTCCTATTATCTATTCTAAATTGACCTTCTTCCAGTTTGAAGCCATTACCTATCGTCCTATCACCACATGCTCTTGTAAAAAGTCCTTCTCAGCTTTCTTGTAGGCCCCTTCAGATACTGGAAGGCCACTATAAAGACTCCCCGGAGCCTTCTCTTCTCCAGGCTGAACAGCCCCAACTCTCTCAGCCTGTTCTCATAGGAGAGGTGCTCCAGCCCTCAGATCATCTTTGCGGCCCCCCTCTGGACCCAATCCAACTGGTCCATGTCCTTCTTGTGCTGAGGGCTCCAGAGCTGGACACAGTACTCCAGGTGGGTTCTCATAAGAGCAGAGTAGAGGGGCAGAATCCCCTCCCTTGCCCTGCTGGCCACACTTCTTCTGATGCAGCCCAGGATGTGGTTGGCCTTCTGGGCCGTGTCACAGCTGTTTGCGAGGGAGAGGGATGTGGGGGAAAGGGGTCCCAGCGCAGACAGGGGAGACTGGGATACCACAAAGCTCCTCCTTTTCCCTTCCAGCCCAGGAAAGGGCCCTGGTGCTGCGGGGCAGGCCCGGAGCCCGAGGTACCCGCCTTTCCCGTGGGGTGATTCAGCAGAAGCGCCGGGGATTTTCCCTCCTCACGTGACTCTTGCTCACTTGCACCCTTGTGGCGCGGCACCCAGAGAAGGAAACTGAAAGCAAACAAAGTGGCTTGCGGGGCACAAACCCCAGGGATGAAGGAAATACCCTCCGCGCCACCAGCATGGGAAAGCAAATACCTTCTTCCCCTTGCAGAAAAGCCCACCCAGCCCTTCTGGGCAGCACCACGCATCGGCGGAAAGGGTGAGGTTTGCAAGGCACGGCAGGAGTTTCCAGCGGCGCTGCTGCTGCTGCTGCTGCTGCTGCGAGCGCCCAACCCAGCACTCAAACACGGAGCGAAGCACACGGGCTCGCAATGTGGATAGAAACGCTTAACTCACAAGCTCCTTCCTCCAGCTCAGCCCACCCCGCAGCAACCCGCTGACATGTCCATGAGAAGTTTTGGCCTCCACGTCCCACTGTGAGCTCCACTCCGTCCACAAAGAGGCTGCCCAGGCCCAGCCCGTTCCATTGACTCAGTGGGGTTTTGGAGGGGAGTTTATCCGCAGGGTAGGTGGAAGACTACAACAAATACCAGTCTAGGACCAGTGGTATATACATATTCCCTACATATACGACTCATTCCCTTACAGCCCAGGGGCTGAGTAGGAGGTACAGTTCACAGAAGGGGATGTGCTCCAGAGACTGCTGCTCTTGATGAAAACTCCACATTTCACCTTTGCCCTCTGCGTCTTCCTCGCACAGGGGCAGGAAAAAACAAAGCACAGTTTCCAAGATACCAAAGACAGGTCCTACAAAACACCTTCTAACACTTCTTAAATGCTTTAATCCTCTCCATACTGAATGGCAGTTCTTAGAGGGCAGTATCCTACTCCTTAGATGCACAGCATTAACACAGTCTTTGACTGTGCTCTCCAAGACAACCTTGTCCCTGCGATGCCAGTTCCTGCTGTGGACCAGATAGACTTTGGCATAACAGAAATAAATACCTAGAGGAGTACTAAGGATACTGTTTATTCTCAAAATCACTAAAAAAACCCAAACAAAACAGTTTATGGCGATACAGATTTACATAACAAAGACAGCAAATTGAAAAATGTACAATCTATTTCATGTTATTGCACTCACTTTTTTATAATATACAAGGCATATTAAACAGTTTTCATTAAAAGAAGTTTTATTTATATAAATAAAAGTGTAAATATACAATATCATACAATAAGTGTATCAGCTTAACACATAAAAGCTACATAGAGTGGGATCCCCATTTCTCACATGACCTAGTCTACTCCTCATCAATATTTCCACGTGTACATTTACATACCCTAAATGTAGAAGCAGGTAAACATTCCCATCTGGGAATAGTTCCTTCAGATTTTGACAAGAACCACTGCAAAACATTAGCTAGGGTTAATTTTAAGTGAGGGTTATTACAAAAAATACGAATCACTCAACAGTTTATTAATACTTATCTGCCCTCATTTTTTTTTTCCAGCAAGAAAATGATCAGATGTTGCTCCCTCCCTAATTTATGCCTAATCTGACAGTTTTTAATACAGATGCAGTCCCCACAGAAGCTGTAAAGAGCTTCCACATACAAAAGCCTGCAGAATATGCAATGGCAGTATCGCACCAGAGCCCACTCTCATAATCAGGACGTGCACCCTGAGCTGCCCCAGGCCTGGAAGCGGCAAAGCCCTCCTCCACCAGGCCTTCTCCATCCAGGAGCAAATTCACCTTATCTGGAATGCCTTCAGGTCCCTGGTGAAGAGGTCTGGACCAAGTCTGTAATTTCATCCTGATTTTTTGGTATTTCAAGATGCAGCTGCAAGTCTCTGGAGAGTCATCACTCTCCCAGAGCTTCGCTAACCCTCCAGCATAGCAAAGAAACACCATGGGGACTGATATGCAAACAGCAAGGCCATAAATGCTCGTGAGCCTTCTGAACACTGATGAACTAATGCAATGCCCTCTGTCATTTTGGTGTGATCAGACTCTTAGAAAAATAACATTTACTTTGCCAGGTGCGTAACCAAAGGTTCACTACATCTGTTTGGTCTACCCATCTTATTTGTAATAAAGCAGACCCATGTTGCATAAATCCTGGGGCTTTGATGGGGAATGTCACCCCCATAGAAATGCTACTGTAATCACATCAACACTGGTAGTATCAGTAAAGGTGTTTCTAGTTCTTTCACAAAAAAAAAAAAAAAGTATTTTCAGAAACAGAAACAATCAGGGTTAAATACTATTCTTTTTCTTGCTGTAATGTTAGTAGAGAAGTGTTATCATTCTACTCATAGTAACTATCAGACTTAAAACACTAAACCTATCTTTTAAATTATAGCCACTACTGAATCACACACAAAAACCCCCGCCTCTCTTTGTTGTTACTCAGCCAACACATATCTACGTGCATGTAAAATAAAATACTGAGCAGTATTTGATTACTGAAAAATGAAAGCATTCTAAATCACTCACAATGAACAGTACCTGCAAATAAGCGTCTGAAAATATTCACCACGTATCATCTTAAGACACCTCAAATTAAATTTAATTTACAAAATGAAGACTTTACCTTGGAGCTCACACCAGTTTAGGAGTGAGGGAGACAATACGCTTCCCCGTGTTGGAACCTCCAAAACTTTAAACTGTGGACCGAAAAAAAAAAAAAATACCATTTCCTAAAACACAATTGTGATTTACCACATTAAAGTAGCAAGAAGTCAGTACTGCACTTGTATGTATTATACGTATACAGGTATGTATTCACTACGCTGCATTAATTTCCACATGCATCTATTATACACGCTGTTACAGTCAGATTTTGGTCATTCCTGAACAAGGCCTCACCATTTCATTGCCAAATGTCTTCTCCCTGTTTTTCAGCAAATATGCAGGGGTAACCTCTTTTATCCCAGCACAGGCCTGCAACCTCAGTGTGGTCCTCCGACCCCAAATGCTGCACCCTCCTGAAGCCTCTGTCACCATGGTGGTGACCAGAGTCAAGGACCAGTCCCGACAGAGCAGCTGAGCTTCAGGGTCACAGGGCACCCAACTCCACAGTCATTTCACAGCACTGAACCTGAAGTAGTTTCAACAGAAATCCTGCAGGCAAAGCAGCTGTGGGACTACGTACAGTATTGCCTTTCCTGTAACCAAAAGCTGCACCTCTCCCTGGATTCACATACTAATACGTCACTGAAATAGAATTAAATCTATTCGTTTTTAGGCAAACGTTGCACAGCTTTTCTGCTCGCCTGGTCTTGGGTTGCCTCACAGAACTGAATTTTCCTCTGCGTATCACGAGTTGCAGTCTAACGAAGCTGTCACAGAAATGAACCAAAGCGAGTGCTCCACTAACCTGGAAGCAACCGCGCCAAGCACTGTTGAATCAATGTAAATAAACTGAACTATAGCATGATCTTGAGGTAGGGCCAAGCGACAAGCCCAGACCTTTTTGTAACAGCTACGCAGTGTCTTGGCTCACTATAAACGTGGGCAGCACTGCAGATCTGGACCAGCTCCAGGCTGAGGCTTCACCCTGGGCATGTTGGCTGTGAGCAGTCTCCAGCCTAACGCGACAAACAACCTGAGCACTCTGGAACAAACAACTTGTTCTCAGCTGATAAGGACACTGGCCCATTTCCTCCTGTATCTCTTTTATGTTGTTTAGCTATCCCCAATGTAAGAAGAGAAATAACAGAGTCTAATCTCTTGCACGCATACACTCTCCTCCCAACACAGCAGACTATAAATAACACTCAGCAGCACGGCTCACTACTGATACCTCTACTGTGAGCAGAGGTGAGAAAATCCAAACGAAGCGCCCATGGCATTGCAACCCTTTCAATTTTGCTGTACCTAACACCATGGTTTCTCCCATCTACACAGTTTTCAGTTTCACCATCCAGAATCCTCAGCATCAGCCCATTCCTGATGCAGCCAGTCGCACGTGTATCTTCCACACACATCCTCGCCCACTCTCACACAAGCAAAAATAAATACTGGACAGGAGAAGACAAAAAAGAGAGCCTAAAAGCCACCACAAATGTGGCCAGTTCAGATTTAATCTGTTATAATCCCCATTTTAGACCACCATTTTCCAGCTTGAGTGTTTCAAGTCGGGCAGCCTTAAACCTTTGCAGTCAAATAGAAGCAGCCCGGCTTTCAGACATACTTAGCGATGGCTGAAGTCTGTGGGATCTGCAAGTGCTCAGCACTGGAAATTATCCCTCTTTTAAAAATATATATATTTTAAAGGTGCCTAATAATAGAAGCCTAAATTTGAAAATTCAGACCCCAATTTTTATCGCTCCCATTTTAATCACAACTAACAACTCAGTCTACATCGCGGTGGTCAATCACCTATTATTTGGACATGATTTTCTTGCTCGCAGATTTCTACTGCATTAATGCCAAGAGCTTTCAGATACAAGTTGCATCTAAGAGCAGATTCAGTTGCGGAGGATGCTGAGTTAGTTCATCAGTTTTAAGAGGATTTTTCAGCTTCGCAACAAAATGCTCATGTTTTAGGCATAAAAGTTGTGCAAAATTATACTCTTTTGTCATGCATTTTTAGCAAAACTGCACTTAGAAGAATAAAGTGAGATTGTTCCAGACATTCTCTTATTACAACAAAAAAAGGACCAGACCCTAAGTAAGTGTCCTGAAGTCTTATTACAGCTAAGTGATATAGTACAGTCTAAATATCCATCCTTGTCAACAGGATGGCAACCAGTAAATTATACTCCCAATGCTCTGCAGGTACTAAAAATATCAGGGACAGGCACAGTGTTATTTATCTCAGTCAAAATATTTTAAATCAAACCCAGGAGAGGTCTTGAAGTTCCATTAAAACAGCCACAAAATACAAAAATGTCTCTAACATTTGGCTTCCTTCATCCTCAATAATTAGGTGAGATTTTATGATGCTTATCACATGCTTGCTCAGTGGTTCTCCAAGGCTCTTAGCACCTCTCTGTAGAGCATTAAGACACTTCTGTGTGACTTTAGAAACAAAGACAGCTTGTAACCGATTTTAAATGTTTTGTCTTAGCAAGTGTGATGAGATGCGGTGCTTCCATCACGCTGAAGTTCTGTGTTTTCTGATTAGCAACTGAACAGGGCCCTCTGGCACAGATTTAATAATGTTCCAGGCATCATAATGCATGAGGCCAAGTAATGATTTTCCACTAACAGCAAGAATTTCATCTCCAGTTTCTATGTTTCCAGATTGCTCTGCAGCACCACCTAGGAGGAAAAGGGGAAAAAAAGTCAGTGTTAAAAAGAAAAGTAAACCAACAAAAATTTGCTTTCCACTGTGATGAACAGCAAATAAACAATTTTTCCAACAGTGGCAATTTCAGTACAAGCCACTTATGTTCAGCTTAGCTCTAGCAACCTACCCCATGCTGCATCTCACAGAAAATGTTATTTTAAGCAAGATAAATCCGTGTTCTCAGAAAAAAATATCTGGTTTTGAAGGAAGCAGTATGAATGCATGAAATATGCTGCACGTTATCTCTGCAGCTGTAAGAAAACCTGGTTGATAAAATAAACATAAAGGCTGTATGTGGCATGGATGTATTTTCTCAAATGGAATTTTAACATGGTAATAAGCAGATAATGCAGTAGATTGTAAAACCCAGATAAGAGGGGTGAACGAACCAAACACAGGTAGCAAACTTAGGAGAAACACACCAGACACAGAAAGAGCTCCTAGAAAGGAGCACACCCTTCACTGCTGATGAAAGTGTCTTTTCTGTAATGATAATTTAACTAACATCAGCCATCACAGCTAGGGGAGGGGGAAATGACTGTATCTAAGGATATAAAGTAATGAGTTCAAAAATTAAACATGCTCTTTACCCTCAGAATCAATTTCTAAAGAGGGGAAAACAAACACACAGAGAAATTGATAAGCAATTCAGGAAATACCGGTTTGATTTTCTTCCTTGATGAAAGAATAAACTACTGAAAAGTAATCCTGTAAAAAAGCTGCACACCCACAGCTTCATTGAGAGTTTCAGCTTCTTTTATAAAGTGCCATATTTTTCACTAAACTCAATCTCAGACTAAGAAATATTAAAATCACAGCATAGTTGTGGGATTCATTTCCTTTCTATACACAGTTCATATAAGTTTAACTACCTACTGACAAAGCATCCAAGAGCGGCAGTTTTGAATATGAACATCACATATTGTTGGTAAAAGTTAATACTGATATCTAACAAAAAAGATAACAAAGACAAAAAAAAAGGTAAAATTAATAATTGGGTATAATGCAGGATGGTGCTTTGGAACCACACTGATTATCTGCACTATGCTTCTCAGAAAAGAGAACTGGATAAGGCATGAACTTCTCAAACTGCCACATACAATATTGCTGCTGTGATTTAATGACTAGAATAGTGGACAAGCCTGGGAAGGAACTGCAACACATTTGGTAAATCAGATTGCTCCACAAACATTTACTAGCAGACGCGATCCCTAGCCCTTGCCAGGAGAGGTTTTTTTACTGACCACTTTGGCTAGTAAGTGGTAACAAACAAGGGTCACAAAAACCACCCTTACTTCAAAAAAAAAAATTGAGTCAGAGAATTAAAATGTCTGCACAATGCACAAAAGGAAAACTGCGATAATATCCACTGCATGTTTGTAGTACCTTTAAAGATTCTTTTTACAAGCAAGGGCCTGTCCCCAGCAATGGAAGCTTTTCCACCATCAAGACTGAATCCCAAGCCAGCAGAGGTTTTCAATAATTCAACGCAGATGACATCATTCATATCCAGGTTTGGATCTGTGATAGAATATACATAATATTGTGTCATGCAGTTAACAGTAAATTGCAAGTTGTGTTTGGTTGGATTTTTTTTTTTGCTGTAGTGACAAAGCAATTCAGAGTTCAGTTCATATTCAGACTAGAACAAGTTGTCATCCAGTTTCTCAGAAGTGAATGTGTATTATTGCAGCTGTGAAGGGAAGACAGTACAAAATGCGTTTATGCAGAGACATTTTCATTTTGCATGTTCAACAAAAACCGGCCAAGGCATCTTTTTTGGCAAAATTAAAGTTTAGGAAACTTAGCAAAGACTCTAAACATCAACAAAATAAGTGAAAAATTAAAAAAACAGTGAATGAATAGCATTTATTTTTCTTTCATTTGTTCTCACTTGCTTATTCACTGAGCCACATCTTTTTAAATAAGAGTAATGAATGAAACATTACATTAAACAAACATGTTCCGTCCTCTTAAGCAAAAATCTGTAATCACTCACTAGTGTGCATAATTGTTTCTGGTCTCATATCTATGGAAATAACCATAATTACCTGTAGGTACATCCTGCCTCCTACACAGCAGATATTTTTGGAATGCAATATTGCTGTAGCTGACATAAAATATGATTTTGCTTAGGAGGAAATAAATCTACAATTTTGGAAAACAGGACCCTCTCTGCCCTGTGTGAATGTAAAAATTATGCAGTCTGCATTATCACAAATTATTGCTACCATTATCTCAAACAACTTTAAATGTTATCTAAAACATTTGAAGATGTGCTTTTTCTCTCAGGAGGGAAATATGTTCTTAATAACCTCGTACTATGTTGTTTATGAGATAATGTTGCCCCCTAGTGCCTGCAGCCAGCAGATATTCTGCATTTGCCAATGTGCAGGATGCAGGGAGTTTAGGGTAGAAACGGATTCTGAAGTAATTACATATGTTATATACATGGGAGCAATTCCAGAAAAGCTGATCAATTAATTTACAGAGTGCTTTCTATTTCTTTTAAACTGTATTACAAAACTCAGTGAAAGCATAAAACAATAAAAACTGCTACAGGAAAAAGCCCAAGCCAGTAATGATTACAGCCGACAGTTAAAAATGGGTGAGTGGCAGCTCCATGTCCTGGTTTTAGGGTGGTGTGAGCTAAGTGCCTGGTATTGGAAGCCCCATCACCAAATCTCTCAGCAATACGCTGTAACCCCTGCCCACTCCCTCCCAGGGATACTGCAGGACTGAAGCAGGTCACCCCCTGCTCCCGAAGCAGCAGCATACAGACAAGTACTAAAGGGTTTTGTGTCTTAATTCTCAAAAAAAACCCAAACAAAACAACCAAAAACCCAAAAGCAAAAGAAGGGGAGATCTGTTTGTAACACCCCAAGTGCAGCTTTCACACTGAAATGCTGTCTTGTTCCCAAACAGGAACCTACCGTTCCACTGATAAATTTCCACTTAAACCATTTATCTCTAGTTTTCTATGGGATGGCGGAATTGGATTTGGCTTAGCTCCATTTACTGCAATATCAAAATAATTTTCTTCTATGTTTTTAGTAGAAATGGTATGAAATCTGCTATTACAAAGAACAAGTTCAGTTGCTATGCCTAACGAACTGCAGGGCTTGGCGCTTTCTTTGAGGTTGGGTTTGTTTTTTTTCTTTTTTGGTTGTTTGCTTTCTTGTGCTGACTACTGTTATTACTTAAAAGGAGTTTATCCTGGATTGGAAGAATATGTGGAATCAATAACTTTAGTAGAAATTGGATTAGGCCCTAAACGTCCTTCTAAGTTTCTGCCTAGTTATGATATTTTAAAAAAAACCCAAAACCAAACTGCATTTAGGCTCCAAAGAGAACAAATAAAATTTAAAGGTAATTTCATTTGCTCCCTTCAATCACATAAGGCACAGACGCTTTTAATCTAAAACACATGGACATCTTTCCCTTCAGTCTGCTCTGCAAGGGAATCCTTCCAACTGTTCTTGGACAAAGATCATACCTGTTCCTATTTCCATGGAAACATCCTTTCCAGACCCCACACATTTTCTGCCAGTAGCTGATATCTCAAGTCTGGAGGAATTGTTTGCTTTGTCTTTTTCCTTCTGGATGACAATGACAGCGTATATGTATAGTCTTGCCTGATGAAGAGCATTCAGGACATCCCCATGGACTGAGCTTGCAAGAGACTTGCCATTGATTGATACAACAAGGTCTCCTCGATGAATAGTCCCTTCTTGTGACGCCACTCCCTTTGAAAACACTCTGTGGACCTACAAGAAAGATTTTAATTTGAGGATGCATTAACCTCATGACCACACATAGTGCTCTACAGGCCAAGGTGAACATTGAGTCCCTATCAAAGTTTTCAATCATTGCCCACTGCCTGGATATCAAGCAAGCAACATTTGCTCTAACAAACACCCTCAAATACTAAGGTCTAAGTGACTGGACAAGACTTGTAGTTAGGGATGGGGGGCAGGAACCAGAGGAAAAGATGCTGTTATTACATGGTCATTTCTAAGCCAAAGACAACAAAAACCAGCTAGAGAATGTAATATCACAAATCACTTCAGTGAACTCCTCAAAGGTCTTCAATTAACATACTTCCAAGTGACACACAGGTTAAATCGACATCCGTGCGATAGCAAACACCAAGAACAACATTGCAGTGTGCGACACCCACTCCCCATGGGTCTGGGACATGCATCCTGTGCTGTTTTCAAATGCACACTTCTAAGCATTGCACAGCATCTGTGCAAAGAAAGGCTGTGACTTACTGCAGCTGCACAAGTATTTAATTGTCCATCTCTATTTGGCTGATCAAATACCATGCAAATAGATGCAAAGGGACGATTTAGTGGCTTTAAATGGATTTTTTCTAGAGAAAAAAAATACTCTATTCAGAGTGGATTAAACTTCGAGTAAACTCCAAGTGTAGCTGAGACTTAGATGTGTGCCATTTACAGAAAGGAACTGACTAAAAAAGTTGAGACCTGGTATTTAAAGACTTGCCTATCAGGGACTGTAATTTTAGCAGCCAGAATATGATTTCCCAGGCACAGTTCTAGGTCTGCTGGGCAAAGGTTCAAGGCAGCAAATCTGTGGACACAATTGTGCATGGCATTTTCTCTATGAATCTCTCCTAATGCCCAGACCAACAGTGACAAATCAGAAGCCTTCTGGCTCCTGTTCCCTGTCATTCGAAGGCCATGCTGAGGCATTCAAAGCTGGAATAACAGCCTCCATGACAGATGTAGACACCCAAATGCAAGAGGTAAGTGAAATACAGGGGCCATGTCCAAAACATCTGCTGCCTTCCCTCACATGCTCAGCTCCTTAGTACCTTAAAGCTGCCTAGGCATTTCTACTTCTGCAACCCAAGTGTGGGCAGAACAGTGCATCTAAGTACCTCAGCACCTAACAGCAATCCTAAATCCAGCTGGGACCCAGAATCCCAGGAGGTCAAGGACATCACAATGTTTCCGACCTGAGAAGTATGCTTTACACACACAGAACAAAGAGGATCTGGAAAAAGCCGGAGCTGACGCTCTTTTGGTCTCATGGCTAATGGAATTCAGAAGAAAGACTGCATCAACTATCAGCATGAAAGAGCTCGAGATTGTATTTTCAGGTAGTGTCCCAGTCTTTACGTGAGGAGCTCTCTGAAGTGGGACACTGTTGAGCCTTCCCCTTGCTCACAGCTGACACTGCGAGTGGTTGGGTCAGAGACAGGGAACACAACCTTTGTAGTGAGAGAAGTGGAGTCTGTTCCCTAGACTGTGACCATGTCCTAAAGTCAATGACTGCTTATATATTTTCTTACCTTGGTCTTGTCTAAGAGCAAAAACCAGAAGATTCCTGCAAGGGCTGCTGCAGACCCCAAAGACTGGGGACCTATCCTACTTCTAATCTCAGCACTTACTGGATCTCCCTCTTTCAGGGTAGAATTTAAATGCATATCTTGTGTAAAGAAATTGTCACATGGGACACTGCTTGTCTTGGATTTTTCTGCCGCACTCATCTTTTATTGAACACTATTTCAATTGCTTGGTACCACTTTTTACATATCTGTATCACTTAATGACACACAATATCCTTGGTTCAGAATGCTGTACAAGACTTTTTTAAATAACAAAACCAAAAAAACCCAACACTTACTGGCAATCAACATGTCTTAATAACACCAAAAAAAATTTGTGAAGTGAAATCCATTATGTTGGCTGATGTCTGAAACAGTCATTCTCAGGATTTGCAAAAACTTTCAAACATTTTGCTGCAGAGTTCACTTTCAAGGGCTGGAAATGAAAATCTCCCCTAAAAGGCTGCATGCACTGCAACTGCATGGAGAATTTTATTTACATGCACAAAATTTAGACCTAGCCAATCTCATCCAGTAACAGACTTCTAAAGACTGAAAACATAATTGGCATCCATTTCCAATAATAAAAATTATCCTTCCTAGACACACTCTGATTTCAGTAGCAGATGGCGCGCAGCCGCCTCTGAGAGACACTATTTTATGACTGTGAATGACTTGCAGTGAGTCTTGATAAACGAGCACTTGATCTAATCACCAGCCTGCTTTAAAGTCAGATTCGCAAAAAAAATGACTTGCAGCCATCACTTACTGTGACTGATTTCTGTTCCAGATCTATTCCTCCAGCCACGCTAAATCCCAGGCCAGCTCCTTCTTCTTTGTGCAAGACTACAAAGTACGTATCTTCTTTGCTCTAGCAGAAAAAAATGGAGGTGGATAGGAAAGGGAAGGAGAAGAAAAACAAAACCAAAGATCAAGACCAAGTTCCTGCACAAGTGACAAATTTTAACAGTACTCTCAGATTATGGCAGGTGAAAAAAGCAACTCAAGGAATTAAAACTGAGACATTAAAAGCATTTCTGTTCATGCTACAGATGAGTAGCAGCTATGTAGGAGAACTCAGGTGACAGAAAAGGTTTCTTCAGTTAGTCCAATGCTAGAAAGCAAAGTCAAAATTAAGATAGTGGAAGGATATTAAACCTTGGGCAGCCTAACTTTCACAGGCTGTAATCAACTTTGCATTGCTTGTCATTTTGCAGTCAAAACTCAATAGTTCCCATAGACCTTTCTGGAGCAAGCACTGTACTGTCCAGGGAATTACTAACACTTTTGTTATCCTGTTTCTCATTCCTCTTGAAAGGCAGTTACAAAGATGTAATGCAGGGCAGCTTCATCAGTCTCTTCTCAGCAGTGCTTGACAGTCTTGCATGGGGCAGTGGCTACAAATTGAAGCTTGGGAAGGTTAGATGGGACAGCAGGAAAACTGTTTCACTTGGGAGATGAAAGTAAGGAGCCTGTTAGTGATCCAAATGGGACTAAGCTGTGCTGTTGTGGAAATAGGAGCATCTGGCACAGGAAATGGACTGGCGCAGGTCTGCAACAGGGCTGCACTTGGCTCCAGACCAGAACAAAGGTGTAAAGCTGACTTCTTCGAAGTGATGGCATGCTGCCAAAATACAGAATTTGCCATGAGAGAGAAGCAGTCCCATCCAGCAAGTCTGGTGCTGTCTTCTGAACGGTTATTAGGACAAAACCAGACACTGTTACAGAGACTACATTTTGTGGTGTAAGGGGAACTATAAGCAGGCATCTGGTGGAGCAAGGGGATAGTAACTGACTGTGGGGCACATCTCCTCCCATCAGAAGCGGGCAGTAGAAAGCAGGTCTGTCAGCTTTTCCCCAGGATCCTACCCAACATCAGCGGTTTCCAGAAACTGCCAACACTAAAATTAATGGCACATCATTAGAAACCAATCTCTTAATCTATTTAGCATTAAATGACATATTTAGTTGACTAAACTCAACATTTTAACCCAGTATTTGCCTTTTAATTTTGCTTGAAAAAGCACAGGGATCCACAGATTATTATCATTTTTTTGGTGAAACAACAGTCAAATTCTTGGCCTCATTGAGTGCTTTTTTGCCAAATAGCAGCCCTGGAAGATTTTCTGCATTAGAGGTAACCCTGCAATGCACAGAGCCAATGTCAGAAATTGATGCCATGCTGCTCCATATCACTGATCCATCAGCGCTTTAGAAGAGAGGAGCAGTCAGGGCTGAACATCTTAGTCCACAGCCTTTTGTAGCTGTTAGGACCCTTCTAGCCTGTACCCAAGTAAGAACAGCATTATGTTAGGCTAGAAAGAATAAAATCAGTTAAGTATCTAGGCTAGCTCCTTTCAAAGTGCAGCGAGGGTAATGGAAACATACACATATCTTTTGACCATTAAGTACTTACTATAGGAACCCTTTTTGTTTAAGAGCTCAGGTTATTTCCAACCCTTCCTACCACAACACAATTTGCTTACACTGGGGAATTAAAAAAATAAAAAGACCAGAGGTTCAGACGTTAGAGGGTTGTGTGAGGACCAGACGTCCTGGGTCAGTCAGCAATACAGTCTGAACTTTGACTTCTCATTGCAATTCCTCCCTCCCCAGCGCTCAGTGCTGTCCTCAGCCAGCATGTGTACTATGGGGCACAAAGACCTGCCTATGAATGCTTATTGCTTTACTTGGCCACCCAGCAGACACACAAGGCCTCCAGTGATCACCTCTGTTTAGCCTGTTAGCCAAAGACCATCGGTCATAGAGATTTAAGCAATAAAATGCCCTTTTTTTTTTTTATTTATTTTAGTAGCACTTATTAAATGCTAGCAGTAAATTCAGCACTGTTCAGAGCAAAAGATGATGACAAACTCTTCCCAGGGAAGCTCTCAGTCCATCTCATTTTTCTGCACTTGCATAACTATGAAGAACTGTCCTATTGTACATTGAAATCCAGCATTTGACTAGCATAAAATTTTCCAGCGTACGTGCCATACTGGGCTTAAATATGGATAAGAAACTATGCAGACAAGGACTGCATTCCAAAAAACATTCAGCTTTATAAATATTTGAGTTCTCAGACTTTGAAAAGTGGCATAAATATACAACCTCTCCAAGACCCCATGCAAAATACTTTAAAGAACACTTAATTACCTTTGGCCAGAAGTACAATCCAATCCCAATTTAATCACTAAACCTACCAAACCCTCTTGGCTCATTAAGCTCTTGGGACTTGCAAGCTTTAGCTACACTGTCCCTGGAAGGAGGTAAAGCTGGGTATCTGGGGGAGGTCCTGTTCCCCCCAGCCTGTTGTACATTTGAAATAGCAATCTTTGTAATACTCCAGAATGCTCTAAATGCAGCTCAGCCAGCAGTTATGCAGACCAGATGGCAGTTTCTCCTCCAGTGCTGTCATTATTTTATCAACTTCTGTTCTGATTTAAAAAGGATGTGGATGTATCCCAAAAACATAAACACAAACACTGCAAACAGGGAAGTAACACTGGCAACCATTTGACTTTGGAGGCGTTCTTTAAAGACCTAGATAATGAAGCAGGTTATCTTGACACGATAACCAGTTTCCACAGAAGACAGCAAAAAGGGCACAGCAGTCTCTTACAAACTCTCCAGCAGCAGCTTTCTGGTGTTACAAGCCACCAGTTCAGCATTAAACAAAATAAACTCAGTTTCCATGATTGCAGCTTCTAGCAAAATGTAGGTGCTTCCAGGCACAGAGAGGAGAAAAGATTCCCCTGCATGGTGAGGAAAGAGGCTGACCCAGACGGTTAGTGGAAAGTTAAATTCTGATGTGCAATTATTGGCAAACCCAGGAGTTTCTCAGTTGTTATAATGACTCAAATGGAGGCATACTTCTCCACTTAAAATAGGTCTATTTATTGTGGCTCAAAACTGCTTTCGCACTGGACAAACAATACTCTTTCTTATACAAAAGCCATTCAAATTTATTATGGGTTTATAGCAGGCATTCAAAAACCAGCATTAGTAAAACGACCACCAACTGTATCTTACCACAGGACTACTGGGGGAGCTCTGAAATTGTTTGGAAGAGATTTTATCTGCCATTAAGAAAACCCTTAAAAATATCACGAATAATCTAGTTTTTATCTCCTGGTTTTTACCTTTACTTGTGCTTTGACTTCTTGGAGCATAGCAGCAACGTCACATTTTGGTACTACTGCTGACAAAACAGCTTGCAGTTTTTGCTGGTCCAGGCTTGAGACGAGCAGCTGATCCAAGCTAAAATGAACAGAAACATACAAAAAAGCTTTATATTTCTAGACTGTGTAGACACATGTTTCCGGTATACAATGTAGGTTGCATTAGGGTAAACGATGAAGGGCCAGCTCATTAACAAATAGAATTCTTGAAAACAGGTAAGAAATGGTGTATGCTGGGAGAATGGGAAGGGGCAGAGAAGGCAATTTAAGAATAACCCTTAAAATCAATCCCTGTTCTGTTCCCCTCCTCCTTTCCCAAATGTTTTAGCAACAGACATTAACAAAAACAAGGAGACAGCTACATCTGAGGACTACTTCTGGCAGGACAACAAGCTCGTTTGTCACCACAGGCTGCGCCTGCAGCCAGCGCTGCACGGCCTCCCCTCCACAGCGGCTGCTGTGCCGTAACGTGGCCAAAAACTAACCAAAAACAGCTAGAGGGGACACAGAAAAGGAGCCCGGCCCTGCCAGGATAAAGAGTTTCACCCCGTACTGAAGCGCAGCTGCCACCAGACAGCAAAAGAGTGTGAAGGACGGCACCCCGAATCGTGAGGGGAATGGGGGCCAGGGCCAAAGCTGAAACGCGCTTTGGGGCAGACCGGGGGCAATGGAGAAGCTTTGCCTCGGGAGAGGCTTGTGGGGATGAAAACAGAGCAGCGGTAGCAAAGCCAACACCAACCTGATGGACCAGCTGTTTCCTGAGCGCTCTCCATCTGGAGAGCTGCCACGGGGCACCTCGTCGTCTGAGGCAGACCCCGGTGTCCCCGAGCCGCTGTCCCGAGGGCTGCCGGCACCCATCCCCAT